AGTGACTGAGCCTCTTTACCTCCTTTTCTATTAGTACTTAATGCAGGAGCGATTGTTTTTGCGTGACTTCTGTTGTACGATGTTGCCAACCTAAGCTTAGTCACTACTGTCTTGATATTAGTCCACCCTCCTCCAGCTGGGAGTGTGGGTGAGATTTCTGTTTACACCATACTCCAGTAAATAAAGCCTGTGAAAATCTATCGGCTTATGATTTCTACTAACGTAAATTAAAAACACTACCAAAATTAACGGGGTTGTTGCCCTGTGATTATATATATATATATATATATATATAATCACAAGGCATAATCATTACTTTTTATTTTGAAGGAAATTATGCAATAAAAAATTAATAAAATGAGCATCTTAAAAGACAATTGCTTGATTCCTTAGATGTCAATTAATACTTTTTCGGTATTATAAAACATTTAACAAGTAAAGAAAAAACATTAAAAATAAGTTTTAAATAGGTAGACATAATGCAGATCTTTTAGTTTTAATTTATAATAATAGATGGCACCACTAATAAATTTTAGATTTTAAAATTTTATGATGTAATTTTAATAATCCACAAGAAAAAAATTAAATATTAATTTAATTCGATGAACATTAATTTAATTAAATAAATATCAAGGGAAAACGATTCAATTTTCATTTTACAGTGAGTATAAGAATTAAGCAAGGCAATTAAACTCCAATTTCAATGTTATTCAATAAATTAGAGGGATATTAGCTTCATAAGAATTCATGCATCTAATAATCATAAATTTAACAAAAATAGCATTTCCCATAAAAATTAAATACAAAATTTTTCTTAAAATATCTAAACTAGTTACTAACCTACAAACAAATCTTTGTCCATGAGGTTTGGAAGTTCTAGAATTCCATTTCGTTTTGGTAAGTTCCCCAAATTCCATTACCCACTTGTTGCAATCGTCTAAATTTAGAACATTGCTTCTAAGGGTAATGGTATTTGATTAAATATTTTCAACTTCATTTTTAAATGAAGAGGGCAGTTTCTCTGTTGAAAAAACTGACATTTCAAGTTTGTATACAAAAGCTGGAGTATAGAAATCGCTCTATGCTGAAAATAACAAGCATGGCAGAATGAAATAGCCATACGTCACAGATGGCGTTGCCGAGAAAGCCAATCAGCGCGCTCAAAATTTCTTGGGGATACTATGTGTGTAAA